GAGATTATAAAGGGTGCTGGGCAGGGAAATAGCCTCTGCACACCCACTTGGTGCTCCCTGCTATGGGAATCCTTCACCAGTGGCACCAATGTCCTTTCGGGATGGGGTGAGGATGCACCAGGGATCCTTCAGCACCTCCTGCAAGCACCCTTGGTGAGGTCTCAGTCCTGCCTTACTCTGTGCCAGCTCTGCCCCTGCTCCATCTCCACTCTGTCCAATTATCTGGACGAATTTCACCACGGTTACATCTCCAGCCTCCTATTCCTGCTGCTGAAGGAAGGTGTAAGTGAAGTGTAAGAGATTATTGCAGAGATTTGCTGGTACAAGCACAGCAGCTCCATTCGCAGGGGTTCTTGCTGCCTATAAGCACCCAGTTAATTCTGGGGGAAACCTGCACAGATAAAAGGGGTTTTGCAGATGCAAAGTTCATTTTTCCCCACCTAAGCACAGCTTTTACACCATTCACACGCTGCCACTTCCAGGTACCTTCCTTCAAACCTGCTGATTTATTCCCCAGATGGGTTTCTTTGGAATTTGCTCATTAATCTCCTAATTATCTGACCTCCAGTGATTGCCTTTCACACATGACTTGGATAGGAGAACGGTTACTGTTCATGGCAGCCCAATCAATGCCTCCCAAAGTCACTTTGAGAGCGGTCGGAGAGCCAGCCTCTCCGTGTCCCCTGGTCCAGCTGCTTGCATCCACGGCAGTATCATATCATTATCCATCTATCTGAGGGAAGAGAAATCCCAACTCAAGCCAAATAGGTTAAAAATATAAAGCAAATGGAAAAGCTGGAAGTATCCAGGACTGGCCAGGTTGGCTCTGCTGGAGCTGCTGAATTACTGACCCATTCCCCATGTTTAGCCTGATACAGGCTCCAGCCTTGTCCCAGTTGCTATTTGAAGATTGGTTTAACAGATTTGGGGTTTATTTTACTTTGTTTCACCCCATGAACCCAATGCTTTTTGCACAGGTGCAGGGACCAATTTGTTTTAGGGTCAAACACTTCCAGATGGACAAATCCTGCCCCAAACATGTGGGGTAATATCAACTGCAAGCCCTGGCTTCCTGGGAATAACATTATCAGGCTAATTCTGAGGGGTTTAGGAAGCTGGTGCTGGCAGGAGAAACAGCACAATACCCACCCAGCCGCAGGCAGAAGTAGTTCTTCTTCTAACAGATGGAGTATTAGGAACCTCCCTATGAGGTTTCCCCACCAGCTTCAGCGCTAGGTTGGGGTTCCCGAATGGATGGTGATATATTGGGAAGAAACAGGACTTCTTTTTCAACGCAGCTTGGCCAGCAAGAGCTCTACCAGAGCTCCACTGGGCAGCAAAACCAACCCATCTGCTAAACCCAGGCTTTGTTAGAGCCACTGACAAACAAAAGGTCCTGAATGATTATGGCTGATTGATGAGGGTCATGTAGCCTGGCAGTTCTTCCCTCTGATCTTTTACATATAAAGCTTTTTTGTCCCCCCCCAATATTGCATACAAACACAAGTACAATGCAGACAAGAAGGGTTGGAAAAAGCAACTCTAAGCACAGTAGAAATAAGGGGAGGAAAAGAAGAGCACGGTTACCTTTGCCAATGAAATCCCACTACTCCCACCACAAAACCAAGCTTTAGCATTAATAAACAAGTTTTAGCATGAATAAACAAGTTTTAGCATGAATAAACAAGTTTTAGCATTAATAAACAAGTTTTAGCATGAATAAACAAGTTTTAGCATGAATAAACAAGTTTTAGCATGAATAAACAAGTTTTAGCATGAACAAACAAGTTTTACCATGAATAAACAAGTTTTACCATGAATAAACAAGTTTTACCATGAATAAACTCACCCTGAGCCCTCCAAACACGCTCAGAAATCAGCGGATGGAGCCGTGCAGTGAAGTCACAGGCACTCGTGGGTGCGGGAGCCCAGATTGCCTCGAGATAAAGCTGCTCTCGCCACCATCGTATCGACACCCAGTGCCAAACCCTCTGTAGCTCCCAGGTTAAAATGGATTTGGGGCGGCACCAATTGATTTTGGGAGCGGAAAGGCATCATGGGATGGAGATAAACTTCTGGAGAGGATGGAGTATCCAAGCCAGGGAGACCTGGTCTTGCGCAGGGATGGTCTCTAGATATAATGTAGGAAATCCAAGGTGTCCATCCCCAGCTTGCAGGGCCTCTGTCTTTTGGGGTTTTTTTTCTATCAGTTTTGCCCTGATTGCTGGGATTTGGGATGGAAAATGTTTTTCTTTGTTTTCTTTGTGCACTGTCATGGACATCTGATCTTAAACAGAAGAAAATTATTCGGGGAGTTACAGAGAGCCATCACCAGCAGCAAGAAAGCTCCTAAAGCCCCTGGGGATGATAGGATCAGCCCTATGGCTATAGAATCAAAGAATGGTTTAGGTTGGAAAGGACCTTAAAGCTCATCCACTTCCAGCCCCCTGCCATGGGCAGGGACACCTTCCACTAGAGCAGCTTGCTCTTGTCCTGTCCCTACAGGCCCTTGTCCAAAGCCCCTCTCCAGGTTTCCTGTAGCCCCTTTAGACACTGGAAGCTGCTCCAAGGCCTCCCCGAAGCCTTCTCTTCTCCAGGCTGAACCAGCCCATCAAATACAGTTTGGGTTCTTTTTTTGATGAGAATTGCACACTGAATTATTTTGCCATTTCCACAGTTTGCTTTTAACGTGTTAAACATCCTAAAATTGGATTTCATGGAAATCCAGCTCCTGGTCCCACGATCATGCCCACTGTGCTTCCCAAGCTGTCCGCTTCTATTTAATGCCTGGCTTGTTCACCCCTGCTTAGCCTTTTAATGAGGGTATCAATAAATCTGCATCAAAGCAGCATCCAGCCCTTTATCAGGGCTGGCTTTGTTGTTAGTGGAAGGAGAACTTGGAAATCAGACTTTGTGCTTTGAGGTCACTCCATATCAGGGCTTTTCTCTCACCTCCAGGGGATTATTCAATGGCACAATCTAGTCTCAGCAGAAGCAAAGCAAAAGTTTGATGCTTTATCCCTGCTCTCATTTGCTTCCCAGCTCCTGTTTTATTGGATCTGTTCTTCCATGTGTAGCAGGTCTGGAGCAAGGGACAAGTGATTTCAAGACGCAGAATTTAGGATGAAGTAAGGAACGCTATTGGCATCCCCTTTATTTAGAGTAGCAAGGCATGTTTGTAAATAGGAGAAAAGCTTTTCCAAAGTATGCTTATGATTTCATGCTCTTGCTCTTGCTTGATCTTTCCCATTTTCCAGGCATTAGCATTGTGGGAATAGGGGAGCCAGGTGCCTAAATCATGGAATCACAGAATCACTTAGGTTGGAAAAGCCCTTTAAGCTCATCCAGTCCAACCATTCCCCAGCACTGCCAAGGCCACCACTAACCCATGGCACCGAGGGCCTTGGCTGCATGGTGTGTGAACACTTCCAGGGATGGTGACTCCACCACTGCTCCAGGCAGCCCGTTCCAAACCCTAACTTCTCTCCATCTCCCATTGCTTACTGCCTGCTAAAAACCAGCATTAATCCAGACATGAAAACCTGCTTGCAACCAACCTGTGCAATGCTGCCCGTGCTGGGGTCCAGCATCAGCCAGGAAAAGGGTTTAAAGATGCTGGTGGCTGTTTGTCCCATAAATAAAGAGCAAATACAGAAGTTAACTTTCTTCCTCCAAATACATAGAAATGCAAAGAGCAGGTTGAGTTTATCAGCTTGTAGGAAGAAGGGTTTACTAAAAACATCCTGGAGAGAGGAGGGGAAAGGAAGAAAAGCAGAATCCCAGGAGCTGAACCCCGCTGACCCCCCTGCTCAGCTTTTGGGGTTCCCAGCTCCGTTTCTAATGGGATTTGGGGGGGAAAAGGGTTCAGAAAGTGTTCTTTCCAGGCTTGTGCTATTGATTGCTTCATGTTTAAAGAGTAAAGCCTGGAATCAGTCAGAAGAGGGAGACAGAGCCCGGCAGATGCAGGGCATCCAACTAAAGCCAGCCTCCGGCTTCCAAAGTAGCCTTAATAAAAGCTCCACTAATAAATGCAGCATTCCCTTTGCCAGCGGCGCTGCAGACAATCAGTTCTTGGGAAACAGATTTGTTTCTTCTTCTTCTTAATGAAACCATACTCATCATTTTGTAATTCATCTCTTTAAGGTCTCCCGCTGAGAGCCTGTGTCCCATTGCGGCTCAACTCACCCATCCAGGCTCGGATGCAACTCGCTCCAGCTGTTTCTAGAATCCCAGACTGGTTTGGGTTGGAAGGGACCTTAAAGCTCATCCAGTTCCAGCCCCTACCATGGGCAGGGACCCCTTCCACTGGAGCAGCTTGCTCCAAGCCCCTGTGTCCAACCTGGCCTTGAGCACTGCCAGGGATGGAGCAGCCACAGCTTCTCTGGGCACCCTGTGCCAGCGCCTCAGCACCCTCACAGGGAAGAGCTTCTGCCTTATCTCCAACTTGAATTTCCCCTGTTTCAGTCTGAACCCATCACCCCTTGTCCTATCGCTCCAGTCCCTGATGAAGAGCCCCCCTCTGACATCCAGCGAGAGGACCCAATCCCTATTTAATTCCTATATCCTTAATGATGCGGGAGGGAATTGCCACCTTGATCACCAAGTTGTGCTAAAAATTCTACAAAAGGCAATACCTTACCTGGCCATTAGATGCTGGTCGCCAGCAGAGGGGAGTCACAGCACATTCCCACAGTAAATCCGTCTTCCCTCTGGAAGTCGCTGGGCTCTCCTTTTCCTTGCCTGGGGATAAAACCTTAAGCCAGGGCTCAAAAGGAAGAACAAGAAACCTTCAGAAAGGGGTGTTCTCCCTTGGTGCAGCCTTGCCCAAATATCCATCTTGCTCCAGGAGGTGCAAGTTGTGCCTCCTTAGGGATGTGATTCCTATTTTTCAGGTGATCAGGTTAAATATACCTACAAAGACAGCCCAAAGTGCAATGATGATGGTGCCACTTCCTGCCCCGTGGCTGGGCCAGCGTGCATTGAGTGGAAGTGACTTTGCAAAACACAACACGAGTTACATTTATTGTGTAAAAAAAACCAACCCTAAAAACCCAATAAAGTGATAGAGAAATGCTTCAAAAGGGGAAGGAAGTAAAAGGACCCTGGGGAACCCATGTGCCAGCACAGTGCATTGCAGTTGTGATAACATCCCAGTGTTACTGTCTCCTGGACCTGAGAAGATAAATCGTATGATGTCCATGTTCAACATCGACCACCTTCCTAAGAGCTGTGCTCCAAGTCCTCCACCTTCTCACACTTTGCTTTGGCAGATGGTGCTTTCCTCTTTCTCATCTTCCTCATCCTCAGCATTGATGGGAATGTAGCCCCCTTCCTTGGGCAAGCACCAGCACCAGCCCGCACCGCTCAGATCCACAGCCCCGAAGCTGAAATCCCGCATCTCCAGGATCTTGAAGTCGACAGTGTCCAGCTTGGAGTAGATCTCGTTGAGCTTTTGCCAATACAGCCAAGCCATCACGAGGCCGATCACCTGCAAAAGATGAGTGTTAAAAGCACTATGGTCAAGCAAACCCTTTCTGAAGGTCTTTCTCCAAGGGGATGCTCTCATCCGAACTTCCAAACCTGGCCACCAGACAGGAGTGGACAATACCCAGTTAAATCTTCTGCCAAAGCAACAGGCTCATTGTTAAACTTGTTATTGGTCACATCCATCTCACAACTTCCCACATCAGCCCTGACACAGGGATGTGGATTAGTCGGACGTCACCATGAGCATTGCGAAGACAGAGGCAGAGGTCCAGGCTCTTGCTAAACTTGAGATATTGCTGCAGTTTATTTCCCATTTCCCTGCAGGCTGGAAGGGACTTAAAAAATACACTTTAAAACTTTAGGAGAAGGGAAGGAAAAAGCACTTTCATCAGCACCAAATGGCAAGCACATTGCTCTGATTTCAACTGACGGTCCCTTCACGGTGCTTCACTGCGGTGGCTGCAGTTAGAGGATAAGCCATGGTGAAGAGCTATTTGCAGACCAGGTACTGATGAGGGGCACGGTGGCAATCAGAGCACTTCCAGTGCCAACTGCATCTTTGTACTAACCCTTCACCCTCCTTGACTACTGAGCCATACAAATAAGGTTTATTCCCCTATAAGCCCAGTTAAACAGGGCAGGTTTATAGCTCCTTTCAATGCACAAGATGGGATGGAGAAGGACAAGACCATCTTGAGCCTCTGGGCTTTTCCTCAGCAGTAGTCAACGTGTTTGTCCTCATAACCATTCCTTGAAGCAAAAAGCCAATAAATAATCCAGTCACATCTGTACCATCCATCACCTGGGGTCTCCTGTAACTCTTGTAGCACATTGGTTTTGCAGCTGAAAAAATATTATTAGTCATTTCTCTGGGTCCCAATCAATTCATTAAATAGTCTGGAAAGTGGGAACATTAAGAGAAAGATAAATGGGGTAAGAGCAAAAGGTTGGAACGCATCTGAAATTAGAGACTGTTTTGCTACCATAGTGGAAAGAGAAAAGTTTTTGCCCAGAGGAGGCTGCAGAAAACAGAGGCAAAAACTCCACAGGGAAAAAGCAAATCACCCAAGTGTCTCCCAGCTGAGAGCAATCACACAATCCCAGCCTGGTTTGGGATGGAAAGGAGCTTAAAGCTCAGCCAGCTCCAACCCCTGCCACAGGCAGGGACACCTTCCACTGGAGCAGCTTGCTCCAAGCCCCTGTGTCCAACCTGGCCTTGAACACTGCCAGGGATGGGGCAGCCACAGCTTCTCTGGGCACCCTGTGCCAGCGCCTCAGCACCCTCACATAAATCACTTCTGCCTTATCTCCAACCTGAACTCCCCCTGTTTCAGTTTGAACCCATCACCCCTTGCCCCATCCCTACAGTCCCTGATGAAGAGTCCCTCTCCAGCATCCTTGCAGCCCCCTTCAGACACTGGAAGCTGCTCTGAGGTCTCCACACAGCTTCTCTTCTCCAGGCTGAACAGCCCCAGTGTTCTCAGCCTGGCTCCATACAGGAGCTGCTCCAGCCCGAGCATCCTCGTGGCCTCCTCTGGACTTGCTCCAACAGCTCCATGTCCTTCTTATGCTGGGGACACCAGAGCTGGAGGCAGCGCTCCAACATCCTGTCATCCACACGAGCACAATGCACAGAAGCCACCCCGAAGCAGCTCAACATTTATTTTTCCTTCCCAAGTTCACCTGGAGGTGTATCCCAGGATCAACAATTCGGAAGAAGCAGAATATGACCTCCTTTAAGATGCCCTCCCAACATGGAGAGTTCTTCCTTTAACTCCTCAGTTGGAGCTTGCCCCATTCCCACTTTCCTAATTGCACTTAGCTATCCTCAAAGAGAATCCTGCTTATTTGACATCCCACCTAATTACTGATAACAGGATTTAATCACCAAAAGAACATACAAGGTGCTGGAGGCTGCTGTGTGGTTACTGCTCGCAGGGCTTTCCCAACAGTGGGAATTACAGAAACGCTGGATTCCTGCCGTTAGGGTGCTGGGGAAGGCAACTGCAAATGCTGAATGAAAAACTGAAGTCTGGAATCATCTTAGCATCCCCTTTTGTTATCCAAATGGCCTGAAATCAAGTTACCTTGCAGCGCTGGTAACTTTTGTGTCTGTATCTGTTTAGCTCCCTGCTGCCCTCAAAATATTCGCTGCTGCCTGGAATATTATATATCCATCTCAGCAGGCAGCTCCTTCCTGAATAGGCTGTGAAATCATTTCAGCCTGTGCACGGAGACAGCATTCATCCCTGACTCAAACTGTGCGGGAAGCATTCGCTCCCTGTGAGCAGGGAAGGGACCAAGACAGGGCTGTGCAACCGCACACTCACCTGGGATGGAGCTTGCTTTTGGTGGAGAGCCAAAAACAACAAACCCAGAGACTCCGTCATGGAAATTCCAGCCAGGATCCTGCTCTCCCACCCCATATCCATCGCCTCTTTGGTCCCCAGAAGGTGCAGAAAGCTCAAATTAGGGATGGAGGAGGCCAAGGCTTGGAGATGGCTCCATCTCTCCATGAACAGCAGGAACTGCCCAGAGCAACAGCCCCCACATGGATGTGGGTAATAAGATTGTGCTAATCCATATTCAACAGCAGAGCCTTTAAGGATTTATGAAGTTTTTAAATGCTATTTAAATGTATGTCAAGCTTTAGCATTATTTACTGCTATTAACATGTCATCACTTGGCAGATTAAAACCCCGCTGCTGATCCAAGACCAAGCAAGTAACCCCTTTTGCAACGCTAAGTTCAAAGGCAAGACAAGTCATTTCTTTCCCTTCTAAACAAAACAGTAATTCGGAAAAGGTTTGTGTTGACAATAAATTGAATGCAAATGAATCCAATTCTGCAAAAGCAGCTTTGGAGACATCATCCCTCCTGCTCCTCCCAATGGCGATGCCACGTCTGAGGTACTGGGGATTTCTTGAATGGAATAAGATCAGCCCGAGTCCTCAATCAGCATCCTGCATCCCACAGCTTTCACTCTCCTCTGAGTTATGAACCAGCATCCATCCCAGCTTGCCTCTAAATACCCTCTTTCACTTAATGAAAACGGAAAAAGCTGTCAGGAATATAGATGCATTCAATATCTCTGGCACCAAGGGCACCGTGTTTTCCAGAAGTAAAGAGATTTCTAACGCGAGTGCTGATTTTATTGCACTGCAATATGAAGGGAGCTATTATTGTGGAGAAGAATGTTAAGATAATGAATCAAATATGAGGCTAAAAAATGAAAAAGCTGCTTTTGTCCCCAGTTTCCCCCTCCTCCTCCTGATGGTAATCAACACCAAGCAAGGGGAGAGCAGCTGCTTGGGACTTGCTGCTTGTAGCTCATTTAAGGTTAGAATATTGCCTGTTCTCCTTGGCTGGCATTCAGGGGAGAAGCCAGCCCTGCCTCGGAATGGCCCCAGTCTGCTGCTTTCTGAGGCATTTCAATGCAGAGGGTTTGCTCTAGGGGGTACAAGAGCACTGAGAAGCTGCTCTTTGCACATGCAAGAGCAGTTGCGCATGTAAAATAAATCCAAAGACCTTTGCACATCAAGGAAATCAATAATTCATGCAGACCACTGGGAAGTGACAATAGAATCATAGAACCCCAGACTGGTTTGTGTTGAAAGGGACCTTAAAGCTCACCCAGCTCCAACCCCTGCCACGGGCAGGGACCCCTTCCACTGGAGCAGCTTGCTCCAAGCCCCTGTGTCCAACCTGGCCTTGAGCACTGCCAGGGATGGGGCAGCCACAGCTTCTCTGGGCACCCTGTGCCAGCGCCTCAGCACCCTCACAGGGAAGAGCTTCTGCCTAAGAGCTCATCTCAGTCTCCCCTGGGGCAGGTTAAAGCCATTCCCCTTGGCCTGTCCCTCCATCCCTTGTCCCAAGCCCCTCTCCAGCTTTCCTGCAGCCCCTTCAGGCACTGGAGCTGCTCTCAGGTCCCTCCTTCAGGAGCCTTCTCTTGTCCAGGCTGCCCCAGCCCAGCTCTCTCAGCCTGGCTCCAGAGCAGAGCTGCTCCAGCCCTCCCAGCATCTCCATGGCTATACATGCATTTATTGCAATGATATTGCAATAGCAATTGTACTATATATATTGCAATTTGCATGGGTAATGCTATTTGTATTTTGGTGACACCCAAAATCAGGGACTCCCTGCAGTGACATCTATGGAGAAAACCACCCTGCAGATGATGCTATTTGAGAATTCCTGCCTTGCTTCCCATCCAAACATACCTTCCTGGCTCCAGAGCTCCTTGCCTTTACGAGTGGCTGTAAAACTGGATCCTGCTAAACAGCAGAGTCGAAGCACGTCAAGCTTCCCCAGAGCTAATCAAGTAAAAAGCAAGCATTTCTTTTATTATTGATTTTTCCTTCCATAAATTGATATTTATAGACCACGCGTGCACAGAGGCCATGGACTGCAGAGGGAAAAATCCCTTTTATTCCCCTTTTCTACTACATTAAGCACACATCAGCCACTAGAGAATACACCGCCTTCCAGCCCCTTGAGCAACTAAGAGATTAAAAAGCAAACTAAATACAAGGGAATCTTGCAAAGACAAAGGGAGCTTTGGCAATACAAAGCCCTCTGCACAAGGAAACATTTAACATTACTGTCCCCAAGAGATGAAGAGCCCGACCTGCAAAATGCACATTGCAAGTCTGAGGAGTGAAAGAGTTGATCTGGGTTTATACTCTTAGGAGGGAACATCTACCTCTGCACTGATGCCTTATTACTCTGTAACTGCTCTCAACGTAGAGCTTTGGAGATTGATGAAATACCAAAGTGAAACAGAGGCAGCAACAATTTACTGCACTGGGCTGACAGCTCCTGGCCATTTATAACTTAATTCCCTCCAGAGCTTGGTGGTTGCACTGCAGAGTCCATAGATATTAACCCTCAGCAGTGACCTTTCAGAGATTTGTTCTTTTTAATCGCCCTTCTCCCACTTGCTGCTTCTTTAGAAGGGAGAAAAAGGGGTTGAAGAGCTTTTGTGCACTTATTTCTACCTTATTACAGTGGCAACATCTTCACCTTGCTAAGGAAGACGAAATACCATTAGAAAACATGCCCTGCAGACACAGGAGTGGAAAAGTCAGAGATGCTTATTCCTGGGGTCAGTATAAAAGCTGCTGAAGGAGCACCTGGGCACGGCAAAGGGGAAAGGGCAAAGCATGAGGTTCTTTGGCAATTTAACAACAAATGGGTTTTATACACACTGGAAACTCCTTGGATAGTCCAGATAGATGTAATGTATGGATGCAGCTGGTAGGAAAGAGATTTCTCTGCTTCGCTGCAGGATTTGGGCTTCCTTCATAATTACACACAAGGAGTACGAGGCCATAACGAGGAGTTGCCACTGAGTGCCAGCAACTAAATTGAAATGTCTTGTTGAGAGTGATATGAAATGCATCCCTGTTTGGCGGAGAAGAGCAGTGAGGAGATGGGATTGGTACTGGAGAATGAAACACAGGAAGAAGGATAAAGAGAATTAAAGGTACGCTGCAGAGGCAGAAGAGTAATCAAGTTGGTGCATTCATGCTTTGCTCTGAGTGAAGTAAGACAAATGAACACTCCCCGCTCCTCAAATGCTTCATCCATTGCTTGATGGCTTGCTTAAAAAAGGCAGAGACACGAATCATTTAGGAGCAATCATAAAATTACACATGCCCTGTGCCTTGCACCAGCTGGGATAGAGCCGAGCTGCTGCTTCGTGATGCACCTGCATCCTCACCCATTCAGTTAGCTCAGCACCCAACAGGACCCAGCAGCTTGACAGCTTTCCCTAAGCCCAGTTAGACAGATGCACACACACCTTGGGTCCTTCTTTCTGCCCAAGAAGAGCAGGTTCCTTATCCCAAATCCAATCACAAAGCTCAGGTGTTGGGATGATGAACATCAGCCAAGCTCAAAGCCCCAGTGTTTGAGCCCTCAAGTTGCTCGGCATCGTAGAGGTTGAAGTTTGATCCTAAGGAATTGTGACACTGAGGAAAACTGGGCAAAACCCAAAGCTGGGCTCAGGATGTGGATCACGATCATGATCCCAACCTTCTCCCTGGCATCCTGCAAATTTTCCACCAAAGTGGTTTGCTGCAACACAGAGAGGCCACGTCCTGCACGGGATGTGACAAAGACCCAAAGGGCAAAGATGGAACAGTTCAACACACTTATTCTTCCCAAAGCTCAAGGCACTGTCCCCTCTCCACACCAACAGTGCCAACCCCTTTCCCCTTGGATCAGCAATTCAAGGACAATATTCTCCCCCCAGCTTTCTGCTGGCAGCTGCTGGGGATGAAGCTGCGTCTGGGCTGACAGCTCCTGGCAACACAGATGGCCATTTATAACTTAATTCCCTCCAAAACTTGACAGAATCAAATCTGATTTATATTTAAAGCCCAGAAATGGTGAGCAGATGGGAAGAACAAGGTTCTTCATCTGAAGAGCATTTAACGGCACGACAGAAAAATCGCAACACTTGCTCAAAAGCACTTGATATTCATCAAGGCTCATTGCCCTCTCTGGTTCTTCTCCCCATCCTTCCCAATTAAAAGCATCATGTTGGCAGGTTAATGGGTAACACAACAGGCAGCTCCTGTAATGGGCTCTTGACATCCTGTGAGGCAGATGGAAGTGGTTGCCTCTATCCCGGCACTTCCTCACCTCTTTTCTGTGCCCGCTGCATTTCCTAGTGGTAGCACAGCAGAAGTCCATTGCTCATTCACATGCTTTGGAGAAAGCACTTTAGAAATGTGGAGCATCACAGTTAGGATTGGGTACAAAATTGTCCCCCCACCTCGGTTTTCCATTTGGACCATGTGAGACTTGAAAAGGAAAGCTCATCCTTTGAAATAAGAGCTCAACGTGCCACATATTTCTCCAAGAGATTCTGCTTTATTCCACCACTATTCTGCTTTTCACTGCAAGCAGAAACACATAAAAAGATAAAATCATTTCATTCCCGTTTAGATAAATCCCCCATATTTGGAAAGCGTAACTATACACCTACAAGGCAAACCCAATATTACACCCAATGTGATAAAAAGAAAGCTTTTGCTTGGGAGCCCCAAAAGGCATCAGAAAAAGGATCAAATTCAACACTAAATCAACACAGTTTTGACAGAGAGAATTCTGGAAAGATCCAAGATATTCACCTCTCCCCTTAGAGTGTTTCAAAGGGATAGCCCCAAAAGTCCTCTCCACATTGAGCATCTGTGATTCTGTGATTGTGAATGCCCCATCCCTGGCAGTGTTCAAGGCCAGGCTGGACAGGGCTTGGGGCAACCTCATCTAATGGAAGGTGTCCCTGCCTGTGGCAGGGCGTTGGAACTGGATGAGCTTTAAGGTCCTTTCCAACCCAAACCGTTCTATGATTCTATGATGAAGAGCTTAATTACCTCTGCTGGAAAATTGTGTGGATTTTCAGGCATCATTAACGGCAAGGGGGTTTATGAGGCATTACGAATTCTGCTAGATTTATAATTATGGTTTATTTTGGTTAATATTTATGCTCCATTGGAAGAGAGCTGTAAAAACAGACATAAAAGGGTTTGCTAACCTACGCATGCCTTGTTTTTGGATGCAATTACTTGCTCAATAATTAGATTTCAGGAGTGTGTTATGAGGCAGCCAGAAGTCATAAGCTATGAATTTTGCTAAGGATGCTCTAGAAAGTGCTGGGACATATGCCACCCAAACACAAATCTCAGATGGAAATGGAGGGGAATTAACTAAAAATGAATTCTTTTCCTCCTCCAGCACAGGGAAAGAAGCCGAGAGGACTCCAACAGGATCCACCACATACCTGAGGAAGCAGCAGGGAGCAAACGATGCCCAAAGTGGCCTCAAAGTTGTCTTTGAGCCAGAGCCCAACGGCATGGATGCAGCCTCGTACATGGATGATGTTGAGCAGCTCCAGGCGCTGGAAGAAGGACAGAGAGAAGCATCATTGAGATGTTGGGTTGGGGGGAGACGTAGTTTCTTGGGTTTGCTCCTTCTTGCAAGCCAGAAGAGTGGCGTGGGAAGTGTTTGGGAATTGATTTCTTGGATTGGACCTTTCCCTGGGTTTTCTTGACAAAAAAAACTGTCCCTGGGAGCTACACAGCAGATCCATAGAGACGCTGCAGCTCCCTGCTACAACAGAGCCCCGTGGTTATCTCTGAAGGCCTCAAAATCAGCTTCTCTCCTACCACCAAGCCTCAAACCCAACGGAGGACCAGCATTTCTTGGAGCTGATCCAGAAAGGCCACGATCCAAACATGGTTCAAGCTTGCCTGTGCTCTGCAAGCCTGAGATGCCAGAGAAAAGCAATAGAAATGAGTTCATACACAGCTGCAGCAGCAGCCATCCTCAGTGTGGAAGAGCTCACCTGCAGGTAACTGTTTGGGTTGGGGGAAGGAGAAGCAAGTCTCATATATATGAAGGAAATAATAGTCTTACCTCTTTATCCAGCGTCCTGTATCCACACAGGGTGTTAATGACTTCTCCAGGGACCTGTGAACAGAGAATTGGTGAACAGAGAATCGATGAACAGACTTAGCCTGGGGGATGCCAAAGGGGAAATAGAAGAAATAAGCAGCATAACAAGAGACAGAAGATCTCACGCAGTTGCCTTGACCAAGCAGTTACTCCCAAACCTCACTTCAGTGCTGAAGCCATGCACGTTGGCAGTAAGCTGTTGGGGTTTTTGTTTGAGCTTATTTTTTAATCACTTTTCTCTCCAGATTCTGATGTTCCAGGGGATGCCCAGGTCTATCTAACGCATTCCCAGTGATTCAAGCCAGGACCACCTCCACGTCACACGAGCACTTAGCAAAGCAGCTCTTGCAAAACATTGCCCTCATTTCCTTCCTTCCATTCCAGCCACCTTTTTTAACACCTTCAGTCACGTCTCTCCCTCATAATAAAGGGAATTGCACAGGGATTAAATATATTGGGCTCTCCAGAAATCAAGAGGGGATTACCCAAAGTCTTCCACCCTCTTGTGGAGGTTTTAGACATCCTGAAGGCTTAGATCTTTTGCCCAAAAAGAATGTTTCAAGAGTCACAGCTAATGAGAGAAATCTCAGCTACTGTTCAGTATCTCAAAAGTATTTCTTCTGCTTCTCCCAGGATGGAAAACAGTACCTTTTGGGTTACAAAACTGATTCCTGCTCATCCTAAAAGAAAACAAAGCCAGAGTAGCCCCAGCACATCCTGAGCTAGTTGGATACTTGGAATTGATCCATGATGGGTTTGGTTTTTGGCTTGTTTCATGGCTCAAACAGCAGCTTCCGTGACACCACGTTATTTCTACTCTGTGCCCTTCAAATAATCGTGTGCTGAAATTATGATGCTTTCAGAGAGATGGTTTTGACAACCGGTAAAAGCTCCTGAACAACAAACCAAAATCATCCCACACTTTGGAGGCACAGAGATGAAAGAGAGAAATGTGCACATTCATTTAGATGTGGATTATGCTCTCCTGCAAGACACAACATAAAGAAATGTGCACCTCCAGGCAGACTCCAGCCCTAAAGCTGCAACGTGTTCCTCTTATAATTGGCAGGGAAATTACTGCAGTGCCACCCTACCAAGAGCTCCCATACCTACCACATTACTGACAGTGCTAGCAAAAATCCCATCCCTCACTACTTCAAGGCACTATTTACACATTGGGCACAGTTAAGGAGACTTATTAGTCCCTGTGCATATGAGAGACTTGCAGGGAAATCTGGAGATCAGCAGCAAAGCACCCATCAGCATCACTGGGAGACATCTCATCCAGGGTTGGGACCATGAAATGGGAAGCCTTCAGCATAAGGGGGAGTTGCAATGCTCTTAATGTAAATGCTGTCACCTGGAGTGGTATAAAGAATGTGTACATGTCCGTGTGCTTTATATTAAAAACAGAACCCATTTTGTCTTGACAGCTTTCAGTTGTCCTTGCTTTTCAGACTCACTTCCATGGACTCCTGCTGGTGAAACACCATTGCTTTCGGTTGTCTGAACACATCTGGCTATGGCACAAATTCATCCCTTTTCTTCCTTCTGTTAAATAATGAAGGGTTTCTCAGCCACCTCCAGTCCTGCCAATTTGTTCAAGTCATTCCCTCAGCTCCTTTTATTTGGGAGAAGTGTGGAAGATGGAAAAGTGAAGGTTCGGTCTTGCTTGACTTTTGTCAAGGTCTTGCGTAGAAGAGAAAGCCAGAGCTGAATTGGATTTCTAACATAAACCAAGTCAGAAGCCTTCATTCTTCCAGAATGCATTTTGATGACTTCAGAGATCACAAAAGAGCAACATGCAGCCATTTAAAAGCCACGGAGGGCATAGGAGTGCAAGCTTTGCACTTTCTATTTAACCAACTGCTTTTCTGCTCAAAAGCAGTGCCAAGTGTCAGCAGTGACACTTCACAAAGCAATTGGAGACACTGCACTTGGCAGAGGCACAGCTCTGCTGCTCCTGCCCTGGGAAGGCACAAATACATTGGAAAAACAGGCAGAAAAGCAGTTAGAGATAAGGATCCAGTTTCACATCCTCAAGAACGTGCAGGTGCCTTAGGCAGTGGAGCTGCTCTAAGGTCTCCCCTTAAGGAGCCTTCTCTTCTCCAGGCTGAATCAACCCAGCTCTCTCAGCCTGGCTCCATAGCTCCAGATGGAGTCGGTATCCACCTGCATCCCACATGGATGGGGCTGTATCTCAAGGCTTGCTCCTTTCAACATCTTTTGTCCTTTCCACAATATTCAGCTTCAAAACAACCCCTTCTGGCACTTCTACATCAATCTCAAAGGTCTTCTAAAACATTTGCTTAGATGCTTCACTCTCTTCCATTCATGAAGGCACAAATAGAGAAGAAGGACAAAAAAGAAGGGTTTCTCTCCCTAAAACCCAGTGAATTTATAACTGGTTGATAAAAAGCTGATTCACAGTAGGGAGACCGTCATATTCACTTTTACCTAATGCAAAAGAACTCATACGTGTGCCCACGTGGTCCCTGGTTATCCTTCCACCTGCATGACTAATGCAAGATCTTCTCTTCAGCCCTCAAGTGACAGACTTTGGTGGAAAGGGTTTTCAGTGGGGCTTGTGTGTTGCTGAGACCCAGCCAGGTATGGCCAGAGTATCACACACAGGAACCTTCTCATAGAAGCATAGAATAGTTAGGGTTCGAAAGGACCTTAAGATCATCCACTTCCACCCCCCCTGCCATGGGCAGGGACACCTCACATTAAACCATTTCACCCAAGGCTTTGTCCAACCTGGCCTTGAACACTGCCAGAGATGGAGCATTCACAACCTCCCTGGGCAACCCATTCCAGTGCCTCACCACCCTTACAGTAAAGAACTTCTTCCTTAGATCCAATCTAAACTTCCCCTGTTTCAGTTTTAACCCATTACCCCTTGTCCTATTACTACAGTCCCTAGTGAAGAGTCCCTCTCCAGCATCCCTGCAGGCCCCCTTCAGACACTGGGATGGAGATGCTTCTCCCACCTTCTCAGCCATCAAGGAAAACCCCCAAGACACCTTTGTAATATCAGCAAATAGCTCCAAATAGACATGCAGGAGCTTATGGTAAATGCAATTATGGGATGTTCACTCTGCTGGTTAAACTACACTGCTATTAGCTTGTTTTGTGCTGCAGACAGCAGAAATCTCCCAAGGGAGCTGGCCCCTTTAATCTTTTTCATGTACTATTGCTACTGTGTCAGGCTGGTTTCTTCACTATCACTCCCTGCAGTGCCAAAATCAGATCTCTGAACAACGAGGCCACATCTATCTACCTGCTTACTGTGGTGCCCAAGAACAGGGTTTATTTCTGATGGAGATTTAGATGCGTTGGGTGAGGTCTCGCTTCCCATAAAACCTCTCTGGTTGTCAGAGCCACATGCACGTGCTTTAATTCTTGAGACTAATGGAGAGGATTTACTGTGGACTTTCCCTCCCAGGAGCTGGCTGCTCCAGGGCCTCACTGGAGCATCCTCCACACCCAGCTCATTGCAGTGGGAAGCCAAAAACTGGCCTTATTTCTTACCCTGCTCTAGGAATCATCTGTGATTTCCTCTCTCTCCAGTATCTCCTTCTGCACTGAGGTCTTTTGTTTACCGAATTGTCACCCAAAACCATGAGGAGCCTAAAAATACTGAAAAATGCTCTTGACTCTCTCCAACACATCCTCACTCATAGTGCAAAAAGGGCAACACATGAATTTCTAATTCCATCTTCAGGAGCTTTAGGGTTCTTAATCAAGACCCTGATTAGGGATGACGATTATATTTGCAGCTCATTTGCATGTCAGGCTTCAACTGATAATTAAAACACCTCAGATTTCCCTCTTTTTCCATTAAAAACCCAAGAAAAATGGAAGATTGATGGTTTATTTTCCTTGTGCAGTTATTAAAGCCCAGGGCATTGTTATTATTAATAATGCCAGAGGCAACGTTGATGCTCCTGATGCCCTGAACCTTGAGGAGGTTTTGTAACCAGGATTATGCTCAGCAAATACTATTTTAGCACCATTTATGGCATTTCTGGTCACAGCAACCAGGGCTATTTGCACTTTTCCCCCCTGCCTTGGCCAAGCTCCTGGCATTTTATCCACAGCATGTGTTAGATTGATTGCGATGAGGTGGACGGTTGTATTCAACAAGCGGGTGTCAGAGCACTTAGCTTAATGTCGGCAGAGAAGTACTGCTTGGTGGGGGGTGTCTTGATGTTCAGCTCTGAAAATCAGCACAGGAGACCCTAATGGCTCTGAAAATCCACTCCCTGCTCTCTCCACCTCCATGCGACCCAACTCACAGTGTGTTGGGAATGCAGCCTTGCAAGGGCAGTTGCCCATGAGATGATTTTTACTCCATTGCACAAGGGTGGCTCTTTATCCAATCACCTCCCCAGTCCCCATTTTCAGCAGAACCCTCAAAAATGTCCATATTAGGAGCAGACACCAGCAACATGGTCCCCACATAGCACTAAACCCTGCAGCAGCAGGCTGAGAATCGTGGAATCAACTGGGTTGGAAAAGCCCTTCAAGCTCATCCAGTCCAACCATTCCCCAGCACTGCCAAGGCCACCACTAACCCATGGCACTGAGGCCTCATCTCCATGGTGTGTGAACACTTGCAGGGATGGTGACTCCAGCCCTGCCCTGGGCAGCCTATTCCAATGCCTGAGCACCCTCTGGGCAAGGAATTGTTCCTCAGCTCCATCTAAACCTGCCCTCGTGCAGCCTGAGGCCGTTTCCTCTTGTCCCATCCCTTGTTCCTTGGGAGAAAAGACCAACCCCACCTCATTACAGCCTCCTTTCAGGTTCCCTTGGAGAAAAGTGTCCTCTTGGACAGAAGAGGAAAGGACATCAGCTCATTCAGATCAATGCTGGGAGGCAGCCAAATCATTTTAAGGTGTTGCTATTTCTTTGCAAAAGGATCCTCCAAACCATTTTGTGTCACATGTTAGGATGAAAACCAGGAACTCGACATTTCTAACAACTCCTCAGCATGATATGAATGCAACTAATGGCCCAGTGCTTTGGTCTTTATTCTGCATTAAAACAGCAGAGCCTATTAAAATAGTGTAACCCATATATACATATATATATTCAAGGCCAGGTTGGACACAGGGGCTTGGAACAAGCTGCCCTAGTAGAAGGTGTCCCTGCCTGTGGCAGGGGGTTGGAACTGGATGAACTTTAAGGTCCCTTCCAACCCAAACCATTGCAAGACTCTATGCTACGTTTCGTAGTTTCTTTAGTGTCTCACACTGATGTGCTCTCAAACCACTCTGCAAGATGCTGCAGCACAGAAATCTGCAGGAATAACACATTGGAAGAAGGTGTTTTGCTGAAATACTGATTGAAATAGACCCACTGTCATGCCTTGGCTGCCTTACCTTCCTGATACAACACGTGTAGGGCACTCCGCATGCCAGCGGCCCGCTGCCATTGCAGGAGTGGTACTGGTTAACCTCCCAGTCCCGGTACTCGTCCCCACCACAGCAAGAAAACTGCCAAGAGAAGAAAAGGAGAGCATGAGATGTGCAGCTGAACCAACCCTAACCCCTCCAGCCCATCGACACATCTCCCTTCCCACCTTCCCCTGCATCTCCTTTGCAACACCACTGGCAACCCCGGTTATCTCCTGCTTTCCAAGACCCTGAATGGGAAGTTGAAGGCACTGTGTAGAAGCAGAAAAGTGGGTGTTTAGCCCCGTTTTAGAGGTGTGCAGCAGTTAGAGATGCCTCCACGCATGTATTGGAGACGCCCCTGCTTTCACCTAGGAAAGATCAGGCTCATTCATGCTTCACTGATTTAATTACAGGTGACTAATCTATCCTATTCCTGGGATGTGCAGGAGATCTGGCTCTTTCAGCACCTTGAATGGATGTGTTTCTTAGCCCTTGAAGGCAGCTCAGCTGGTTGGTGCCAGTTGACAAAATGCTAATAAAGCTTCACAGTCTAACAGGGATTTCTCTTCCCGTCAAGTTAAATTAGAGATCAAATGCTACAGCTACAAAGGAAAAAAGATGCTTTTTTCTTCTGTTCACACAATAAAGAAAAAAAAAAGAAGTTTAATGAAAGTCATTTTCTGTTCTCCACAGAATAAAAATGGGCTTATTATATACGGAGTCATCTCTCCTCTTGGTAAACAAGCTTGAATCTTTACATGCTTCCCTCAAAGAAAAGCCTGAAGTGAGCAGGAGAGGTGAGTGTGCTGGGTAAAACAGAGGAAAAACCACGTTCTCCCCATTCCTTTAAGCATCACACTATCAAGGAGCAGGTGTGGGGAGAGGTTTTACCCTGGGAGCATCTGCTCCTCTTGCTGCTGATGGGCTGGTGGCAATACTTGGCCAACAGGAGACAAGCTACCAGCTCTTGGTGCTCTCCTGGCCTCCTCCCATGCCCAAATGGGCAGAAACAGCCAGCAGCAGCCAACCCACACATTTACAACTGGTTTCTAATTTCCTCCCTTTAATTCCTCTATTGCTTTTAATCTAACTTGAATCAGTGAGGGAGGTCAGCTTGAGGAGTGACCTAGAAAGAGGGGGAGAAAAACACCTCAAGGGCTACTTGTTAGTGCTGCCCATTTGACATCCCCATGCTGTGAAGAATGCTTTTATATCTGCACAAAAATAAGTCCAACATCCTTACAATGAGGCTTTCTAGCTGCCTCATGGGATGGTTTCTTCTCTGCAAAGAGAGGTTTAGCCACAACTACTGTTGTATCTATAAGCTGGGGCAGACTTCAGTGCTGGTTTTACTTTCATGCAGGCTCCTGGAGCTCAAAGGAGCATAACAAGAAGAAAAATTAAAGATAGCCCACGGAAAGAGCCTTGCAGGTTGCATCTGAGGAGCTCTCAGTGTTATGGACCACCGTCAGCACCAGTGAGATGCAGCCTTGGAACAGCTAAAACCATCATCCTCAATCAAGCCATGCTGGTGAAAGCTGCCTTTAATCTTCCCCAGGAAGACAGGAAGAGCTTTGCAAGCCCAACACCCTCATCCATCGCTTGGAGCCTTACTTTGTGTTTGGAGCCACTCGGGTTCGAACAAGAACAGCAGCTCCAGCAGCTCTTTGAAATTCAAATCCTATGTGCAGCGAAGCAACGTGAGCTCTCCTCTTCTACCTGTTCTTAGCAACCCATTAAAGAAGGATAAAGTGAGGAGCAGTGGAGAGCTCCAGTTACTGACTTGAGGCAAACCCAGGCTTTTGAGTCATCATGGTCTCCAGCCTCACATCCAAGGGCTGCAAAGGCAGCAGTGCAGCAAAAATGAGGGATAAAAACCTAACTATTATTTCCTTGAGGGTAATGCATGTCCGTATCTATTTGCTCACAGGCAGTCAGACTGAGGAGGTGTCAACAGGTAAAACCACACTATTTGCATCCTGGCATGTAAAATATGAAGGTATGGCCACATAAATACTGGTTCTTTTTACTGCACAATACTGGTGGCAGTGTGTGAAGACAGCTGGCTCCAGTTTAAAGCATCACTTGAGAGGCAGTTGAAGCAAAATTCAAATCCTAAGGAGCATAGTGTGGTTTTGCCTATGTGTCAGCTAACTGATGCATAGACAACGATTTTAATAAGGAAAAAGGCAAAAATTACCACAAAATGATAACAGGCTGCTCTGAGCTTGTGTTTTAGCAAAAGAGCAGGTCTGGGTGCAATCCATCCAGACTGACTGCAAGTTTTCCGCATCTCAAAGGGAACCGGGCTGCTCAGGTCCCATAAACCCAATCCCCCCCTCTCTTCACAGCCATTATTCCTCTGCATTGCTTCTCCCCAGTCCCTCGGGATGAAACAACTCTGCATTTCAATCACTGACATTGCTGCTGCTCCTGAATAATAAACAGAAAAGCTCATAGCACAGAGCTGCATGTTCTTGCAAAGCTCCTTCTCACAAGATAAAAGATGCTACTGTTGAAGACTTATCAACACTCTAAGTGGCCAGAAGTTCTTTGAGAACAGAGAGAGACTTTGAGATGAAGACCTTTCCCTGAAAACTTTTAATAACATCCAAGTGAAGAAGTAGATAGGGAAAAATGTAAAAATAGGGTGAGATGAAAAGATAAGTGCCTGATCCTCGCTTGCTTGGAGGCACAGAAACCTTCCTGCAGTTCTATCTGCTCTATCTGGAGATTTGTGGTCTAACCTCCTTGCCAGGGTTCATGGAGGATGGCTCCAGCATGGACTTTCTACTGCTCATTTGTCATTCAGAGGTCCGAATAATAGCATCCTCTTCGAAAGGCCGGAGTAAAGCTTGGAAAGATTCAGATCTTCCTCAGAATCAGTCGTATCTTGAGACCTCCAGAGCACTCCCAGGCCTCTTAATGCGCTCAATTCGGTAATGATGACTCCAAGAGTCAAAAGGTGGTTTTGAAGCCAAGAGAGGGGAGTGTGAAGGGCACCACTGGCCTTAAATTCCAGCTACATCAAAGGAGCTTCACAATCTCCTTTTCTTCAAAGTGAGAGATAAGATGCACAGATTTATGATGCTTCAAGCAATAATGAAAGGAGAGAAATCTGGCCAAGGTGAGAACACGCAAAGATCATCTGAAAGCAGCTCTGCTGACAAAGCCTGCTTCTGCTCTCCAAAACCAGTTCAGCAAATAGAACACCACTGCCATTTTCCTCCAGATCTCAAGTTTGGGTTTTTTTCCACTTCTCTTTTCATTCACCAAATGCTTTGAGCCAAGTGCTTCACTCCCACATTTACACAAAGAGGGGGTGAACCAAATATCCTCAGCAAAACATGAGCAAACCAACATACCCCAAATGCCCAGGAAACTGGGAAAACCAAATGATACATTAGAGCCAACCAACACACACTTAATGGTGAGGAGAATACCTTCAAATCCTGACTTTCCTTGGCTGTTTAATGCTCAGGGTGATGCATCACTACTTTGCTGAAGCTAAACCTTGGCTTTCAAGAGAAACATCTAACCAGGGCTCAATGGTGGGAATTAGGAAGATGTATTTAACACTTAATTTAACAGCTAATTTAACACTTCATTTAATATTTAGGACCTCAAACAAACTACATGGTGTATGAAATACAGCTGCAGCATAGCTAAAGTCAGCTTAAAATAACATGAGGACTATTTCATCGACCTGCAGGTTGGCTTGAGGATGGGACACGGTTCCTGCCAACTCCTGGCAGGCTCCAAGCAATCAATATCAGACAGGATATGCAACTACACACCTAAAGAAGTTAAAGCAGACTGCGCCAAGCCCCAAAATTGGCCTGGACATAGCTCTTGCTCCTGGTGCTGCCCACGAAGGGGTCTCCTCTCCTTCCAGCTACTGCATGAAAACACCTTATCCCCAGTTTTCCCATTGAGACAAGGGCTTGGCCAGCTACTGAGGACATTGCAAGTAAAGAGACTTTCCTAAGGTGCCTATCTAAGCTCACTGCAGCCCTGAAGCAGTACATGTTTTACTCCTCAGTCTTTCTCTATGCAGGTTGGGGTACTGACCAAAAAGCTTTCAGGTGTTGGACACCAGTTTCTCATTGAGATTGGGAAATAGAAATACCCTGGCATGGTCCATACCATGGTGTGGAGAAGAAGATGCCCTTTGCAGCAGGATAACTCACCAAAGAGCCTTGTGGGGTGAGCTTGGAGAGCAGGACAAGGCAAAACTGTGCAAACAGAGCAGTGTCAACCTCAAAAGATCAAGATATTTGAGATGGATCAAGCAAAGCAACCCAGGGATGGGAACAAACTCTAAAAACACTACAGAAACTATCACTTATGCTTCAGTGAGGCACAGATTGACCATTCCTTAACCCCCAGCCCCCCCAGTGCCTCCTCCACAGCCAAACCTTTTCTTGTACAAAATCCAAGATGTTCTTGAAGTCAAGGTCATCGTAATAGTGCCTGATGCCCTCTTGGATGTTGGAGTGGAAAACTGCATTCATCTGGAGACAGAGGAAAACCCAAAACATGGCTTGCACATGCAACAGTCACAAGGAAAAGCATGCAAAACATGAAGGATTTTCCTTAGCAAGTGTTGCCTGCTGTTACTGCAGTAAGAACTGAACCCACATGCTGGGACAAGCATCTTGGGGCAAAATTCATCAGTGAGAGTTAGCAGCATCATTCCTGAGCTCTCAAGGTGATCAGCACCCATCGCACCTCCCCGTTCCCTGCACATGCAAGCAGACCCACCTGATTTTTCCTGTTACATTTCATTATTAAGGTGACTTCTTCACAGTCTCCCTCACTCTCCAATCCCATTGGATTTTAATCACTGGCGGGGAGGTTGTTCTGCTGCAGTAGGATTGGAGGAGGCGGAAGGGACTGTGACAGCCAACACGGCTGGCTGCAGGGTGATTTATCTATGGGATGAGCTACAGGCAGGAGCAGAGACCTCATCAGAGCCCTCAATCACTCCTAATCCCAACAACTCATTCTGCAATTCAATCACACCCTGAAAGGGAACGGTGCAGCCAAGGCTGGGGCTGTCCCTGCTGCTCCTCCAGCCCTATCTCCGAGGACACTTTGACACATTCAGGCACTCTACATTAAACACTAATTGAATCGAAAATGTCTTTTACAGATGCCTGGGAAGCTTATTAGTGAGCTGGGAATGAAGGCTCGGAATGGCCTGTAGAGCCCGGCACAGGTTTGCCGTTGACTCCTGACAAAGAGCCAAGCACAACTATTAATGAAGGGAAAAGGAGCTTGTTCTATCTGAGCTGGAAGCAGGGGAAAAGGGGGGGGGGGGGGGGGGGAAGAAAACGTTGTTTTTCATAATTCACTCTGACATGAAAATTAGAGGTTGGGCAAACCGGGAACGGGAAGAAAGAAAGAGAAATGAAGGCACGTCAGAGCGTCAGACAAAGCGAGGGAGCAGCCGAAGGGATGTGAAAAACCTGGAAGGAATTGCTCACATCTGAGTTTGTTCAAATGCTCATCCCTGGTTTTGCCCACCTCTAAGCCCAACACAACGGGCAACACCCGGGTTTTACCGTTCTCTGCTTGGTTTAGCCCAGATAGGCTCATCGCATCCCCCAGTCCCATTGCCCTCCAAGATGCCAGCCTCTGGAATTAAACCTTGGTTTTAAGGTGGGAGGTAGATGTTGCAGTTCTTGTTTAAGAGACCTCTCCACCCTCCTCCCTTCCAGGACACCAAGCCCATTATCTCCAGTAATCTCCCCAAAGCCATTTGCATATGAACAGAGCCTATTTCAATGCTCAGTAGCTCCAAGGCCACTAAATTAATTCCTCGTCCCTGCTTATTTAATATAAAAATCCAATTAAATGTGTTTTCAACAAGTTTAATAAACAAGCATTGTTCCAAATGCAGATTTGTGCCTCTGAAACAATTTCAGGCAAGTGGATTCATCACTTGTTGGATCTCTTTTCTCTCTCCCTCATTGTTTGATTTTTAATTAGGTTTTGATATTCCCTAATACATTTAAATTAAGGGACAATTCAGACTTTAATGGTTTCTACTCAATCCAGGAGTTTAGTTACAAAGCTGCAATCCCCTCTCCTGATGGTACCAGTGTTTCCCAATTGCATTCCTGCAGTGCAGGGTGGTGCTGAGCATCATCATGAGGCTCAAAGGTGGAACAAAGCAGAGGATTTAAAGATTAATTCCACAAAATACAGCCTCTATGTGGCAGCACACATTGATTTTCTATATGCGAGGACTCATGCAATCTGATTTCCTCAAAGAATATCTCTCCATCAGTACACTTTGGTTTTCAGGGATAAGAGGGGTTTGGAGAGCTCTGGGAAGCTGCTGGATGGAGTTGATGGCAGCATCCAAAAGGCAGTGTCCTTCCCTATTGCCTCCTTTCAACTTTGAGGCTCGCCAAGCACATCCCTTCCAACCCCAAGCTGTCACTGGTGTTCACCAAGCGCATCACTCCAAATCCCAAACTGCTTTTGGTGTTCCCCAAGCACATGATTCCTAACCCCAACCTGTCTTTGGGGCTGACCAAGCACATAAGGCCCAACCTTGATGGGTTTGAAAGCATCTTTGTGCATAAGGGAATCAACTTCTAGAGCCCTAAAGGAGGTGTTTCAGGCACTGTTCTCCCACCTCCTGCATCCAGTGAGCCAGCGGAGATTGACATTAGCAATTTAATAGCTTGATCGATTGCAGGGGTGTGATTAAATTGAACATGGCAGGGTTCCTTCAGCAGAAGGCAGGCAGCCAGGAAGGACACACGTTGGAAGCATTCACCATCAGCTCTAACTCAAACTTGACCTTGCAAATGCAAGCTGGCAGTTACCGTGCTGGAGGTGAGGAGCTTAAAGAGTGCCCAGAGAAGCTGTGGCTGCCCCATCCCTGGCAGTGCTCAAGGCCAGGTTGGACACAGGGGCTTGGAGCAAGCTGCTCCAGTGGAAGGGGTCCCTGCCCATGGCAGGGGTTGGAACTGGATGACCTTTAAGGTCCCTTCCAACCTAAACCAGTCTGGGATTCTATGGTTCTCCCCACTGATGGCACGTGGGGTTGCAGTTTGTCACCGTTCAGCACCCAAAGACCTGCTGACTGCACCCACCTTGTTCTCAAAGATGATTTCAATGAACAGCAGCAGCAGCTCTGTGAGAAAGATCGCCAGAAGAACCCAGAAGAACTGAAAAGAGAAAGGGAAGGATTAGCCCTGCTCCAAGTCAGGCTGGGTCATCTGTCAGTGGTTAACCACAATGCGGGAGACCTGGAAACCAAAAGCTGCTTCAAAACACTTAAAAATCAGACAGATTTCATTATAAGCTCCCCAGGGACCTGTAGATCTCTTCTAAAGATCTCAGTCCCAGTAGAGGAAGGGAGGAAAAGAGGATTCAAAAAAGAAACCAAATGCAATTTGAATGGCCAAGACCTGCACAGGGAAATGGGTGAAATGGATGCAATAGAAGAAAATGTTATGAAAACATGGAATAGTTTGGGTATTTAACCTAATTCTGTTTTCTGCCAGTTTAAAGCCATTCCCCCTTGGCCTGTCCCTACAGGCCCATGTCCCAAGCCCCTCTCCAGGTTTCCTGTAGCCCCTTTAGGCACAGGAGCTGCTCTAAGGTCTCCCCTTCAGGAGCCTTCAGAGTCCGGGCAGTATTTCAAGCCTCTGAGGGTTGATTGTGGCAGTGTTTCAGGCTGGAAATCAATGCCCTGATGGCACAAATGACTTGAACAAGAAGGTCTGATGTTCTTGCAGCCCAAACCCACCAGTCTCCCAGTGTGATAGGTCTGACATCCAGCTTTGCAGAGGTTGGAGGTCAAAGCTCTGCTCAGCTCACACTGGTCTCCCCACGTCCATCAGCAACTTTTGAGACTCGCCAGAGAAAAGAAGGTGGAAAGTTACCATGGAAACCTTAGGAAAAATCCTAAAACAAGTTAAAAGAAACAATAAAGGGGGGAGGGAAAGGTAATTTATTACCGGGATATTCCATTTGGCCATTGGTTTATTCAAACACCCCATTTCCAAAGGCAGCACAGGAACCTGCATGCCCCTCAATTATTCCCCAAGCTTGGCAAAACCAACGCACTGTTGCAGGAAAACACCACTTCATTCACCAAACCATCTGGGTTTTTAATTAACCACCCACCAAGGAGCCTTGTGATGTGTATTTGGTAAGAGCCGGCTCGTGTGGTCCCACTGGAGGAGCACCACTTCACCACCAGCTAAATCAGCTCCTAAAGCAGCTAAATCAGCTCCTAACGGGCCAGGTATCATTTAGGAATCCCATAATTAAGGACTATAATTAACCAAGCACCTGGTATCTCGTAGGAAGAGATGACACACAAAGCTCTGCACGGAGCTAAAGCGCTAGAAACTGGGGTTGCTTCAGGAGGAAGCCCAAAGTGACATGGTTCACAGCTTTACCAAGCAGGACATGGCTGCATCTTGCAACACTGCAGCAAAAAAAAAACAAAAAGAGAAATTCAGGTTTGAAAATGTTTTTATTCCTTGGCTTCAGTTTAAGCCAAAAAAAATAAATAAGAGTGAATCACAGAATCATGGGATGGGATGGGTTGGAAGGGACCTTAAAGCTCATTCAGTTCCAACCCCTGCCACGGGCAGGGACCCCTTCCACTGGAGCAGCTTGCTCCAAGCCCCTGTGTCCAACCTGGCCTTGAGCACTGCCAGGGATGGGGCAGCCACAGCTTCTCTGGGCACCCTGTGCCAGCGCCTCAGCACCCTCACAGGGAAGAGCTTCTGCCTAAGAGCTCATCTCAGTCTCCCCTCTGGCAGGTTCAAGCCATTCCCCTTGGCCTGTCCCTACATCCCTTGTCCCAAGCCCCTCTCCAGGTTTCCTGCAGCCCCTTCAGGCACTGGAGCTGCTCTCAGGTCTCCCCTTCAGGAGCCTTCCCTTCTCCAGCCTGAACAACCCCAGCTCTGTTGCCAAACCCCTCTGAAAGCACCAGCTCTTCCCAGAAATCAAGAATTTAACCCTTGGTGCAGGATGGTTTTCCTGCTCTTTCCAGTGCTTTGGCCATTGTTCACCGTGCACTGATTTTGCCCCTATTTCCTCCTTTTAGTCTCCATTTCTGCCCTACAGCCATACAAGCCGAGACATAACAAGGTTTATGCAATACAACTCAGCCTGCTCTGTGCCTATCGAAATCAAGGCTAATCTCTAATACCCAGGTTTGGTATCTGAGTTATAAACAAGCGTGGGCATGTTGGGCACAAGTCCACGGGGTGCTGTCTGTCCCCAGCTATTAGAAAACTGATGCCTGAATGTAGCTTTCAAATGCTCCATCAGATGAGGGTCACAGGTAGCAAACCCCACTGTTTTCCAAGAAATCAAGCCCAGAAAAGAGCTGAGCTCACAGTCTTTATGAACAGGGGGAAAATGAAGCATTATTTGGGAACAAAGACACTGCTGACTGCAGTCTATTGCAAGAGGGAAATTGGAAAGTCACATAGTTGATGCCCAGCTCCCCCTGGACACCCAACAATCCATAACCCTCATGCCTTCAGAAAGCCCATGATTTCCCTTATAATTTATAGGGGATTTGCAAGAAAAGCCATCACCACCTTGGCTCTCCAGCATCAGCCTTGAAAATAGAGCAGTCTGAGCAAAAACCACTTCTTCTCCCCTCAAAAAAGGGGTGAAAAGAGCATGAAATTCCTCACTGCTACATGGACATAGCAGGAAGTGGCCCTGGTTTTGCATCCATAAGGATTGCAGCAACCATCAGCAACTGTAATGCACATTTAGGAGCTGGCAAGATCCACGATCGTCCCTTTTACCTAGTGCACTGCAGCCCTCACTATCTGCCAGACTAAATATATCAGCGTTTTGTTCCTTAAAAAGACTTCAGCAGCAAAATCAAGAGCAAAACTCCACATTAGGAGCATTAACCCCAGCTTGAGCTGCTGTAAGGTTCAAAACCTCAAAGCAGTACACTGAGGAGCTGGTTTTTCCCCCACTTTCTGCCAAAATTCAGCCTTTACATGGAAGCGGTGACTCTTTGGCCAGGCTTCATTGCTCACATAGAATCATAGAATAGTTAGGGTTGGAAAGGACCTTAAGGTCATCCAGCTCCAACCACCCTGCAATGGGCAGGGACACCTCACACTAAACCAGGGCACCCAAGGCTCTGTCCAACCTGGCCTTGAACACCGCCAGGGATGGAGCATTCACAACCTCCCTGGGCAACCCATTCCAGTGCCTCACCACCCTAACAGGAAAGGATTTCCTCCTTAGATCCAATCTAAACTTGCCCTGTTTAAGTTTGAACCCATCACCCCTTGTCCTATCCCTACAGTCCCTAATGAAGAGTCCCTCTGCAGCATCCTTGGATGCCGCCTTCACATGCTGGAAGCTGCTCTGAGGTCTCCACACAGCTTCTCTTCTCCAGGCTGAACAGCCCCAACTTTCTCAGCCTGGCTCCATACAGGAGGTGCTCCAGTCCCTGATCATCCTCGTGGCCTCCTCTGGACTTGTTCCAACAGTTCCATGTCCTTTTTATGTTGAGGACCCCAGAACTGCACACAATGCTCCAGGTGAGGTCTCACAAGAGCAGAGCAGAGGGGCAGGATCACCTCCTTCGACCTGCTGGTCACGCTCCTTTTGACGCAGCCAGTTCTTTATCCACTGAGTGGTCCATCCATCAGATTGATGTCTCTCCAGTTTAAAGACAAGGATGTCAAGTGGGACAGTGTCAAATGCATCCCTGAGAGGAGCAAACCCTGTAGAGGAGGGACCAGGAAGGTGCCCGAGGATCTCACCCATCACAAAACAAAGCCCAGCCTGAACAGGGAAACTCCACAATAAAACCTTCATCTTGCCCAAGACAGATGGATGAGGGAAAAAATCCTCACTAAATTAAGACCCACCACAGGCAGCTCCCTTTAAAGACCTCATCAATCCCAAGGCTCGCAATAAATTATGGTGCTTCATTCCCTCAAATACCTTGACAAAAAGATTAATCACCGCCATTGCCATGATCAGGCTGCTCCTTCCCTCCTCTAACAAGTCTCCAGAGCTGTTTTGTTCATCATCAATCTCTGCTGAAGCCCAAGTGAGCTCAGAGGGAAAGCTCCCAGGGACCACGCTCAGGTTTTAAGAGGCATTCCTTGAGTTTGGGGAATAACCAGCAAGTTATTCCCCAGAATAGGGTTAGGGTTATTTTATACAAGCAATGTATAGCTTGCCTGGAGTGATCCCTTCCCATATATCCTCTGTGCGTTTGGTTTTCTGCCACCTCCACACACCAGTTAGTCAAGTTTCATTTCCCTGAAGCTTAAAACCTACTTGAAATACAGAGTTGGTCAGAGTTAATGCTTCCAGCCATGGGTCTGGCTGTTATTGGGGTGCAAACCAACTGCTGCTTCATTTCCAGACCATAGGCAGCGTGCATCCACCTGCAATTCCCAGCTCAAACATGTCCTCACCAGGCAGAAAGGATGAATGTGGGTCAGGGATGAGCTGCAGGCACCAAGGGATGAATAAACCACACATACCCATCACCAGCCCAGGGAAGGAGCTTTGAGCCATGGATAGAGGCTGAGCATCACTCTCGAGCTCAGATGCACTCAAAACACCGATGGCCATGGGAGATTCAGACGTGCCCAGCCTACGTGTGGCTCCAATGGGATGTTGGATGGAAGAGGGATGCTCTGTTTATCCTTCTGCCTTCTTGATGAACTTTGCATTCAAATAGCATAGGCAGATCATAAAAGCTGCCTAATTCAAGAAATCAAGTGGGGGGGTTGCTGAGAACAAGTTACTGGTTGTACTTAGAACAAGACTCTACAAGGCCCATATAATGAGACCCTACAGGGGCAAATGGAGGAGGAATGGAGGGGTTCAAATCCCTTCTGTGAAGGGTGGAGATAACTTGATCCTCATTCAAGGCCCTATAGTCACCATTAAACCCCTATGGGAACAGGTATTCATGAAATAACCTCCCCAAAACTTCATTTTGTTCCATTCCTAGAGATGTTTCTCCAGCAAAGGAGCTAAGTCAGCCCCACTGAAGCCAATACAAGGAAAGGCTTTGGACCTATTAATATAGAAGTGGTCATCAAGGGATGGAAAAGATGGATTTCCCACCCCAAGAAGAAAAGAAACTCGTGCAACCTCATTTCTCTTCCTTTAAAGCCTGCATCCCTCTGGTTTTGCATGCACA